TATTGTTATTATTATTATTATTGTTATTATTATTATAATTATTATTATCATTATTATTCTCTTCAGGTCGTGATGAGAATTTTCGGGCAAACTTCGCGCAGTATGGACTCGACAGTTATTTCGTTGACATACTCATAGCTGATGCTGGGAGACTGGGACTGCGAGAAATTCCTTTGTTTGATGCAATCATAACAGACCGTAAGTAGAAAAATGAAAAACTTAAAAAGACAGCTGTTATGTTATGTTCTGTTCCCTGGGAAAGAAAATCACAATTTGTTCTGCTCTAGAAATACCGCGCTCCCTTCTCAAACAATCAGGAGCGTAACGCGCGCGTAATTCACGTGTAAATTGCGCGCAATATGGCGGATTTATGCGTGATACGCGCGTGTAATGCTGCTATTCCTGCGGCCGGTATTGTAGCGCGACTGACATCCTACTGCGCGTGCGCAACAGACAGTAAACTTTCTTGATTTGGCTTGTCTCTTTTCCGTTTGTCGTGGCTGTCTTATGTCGTTGATAAGTTTGTGCTTGCATTTTGTTTCTTTTAAATTGCTATAGCACCTTATGGAATCCGAGAAGGCGCTCGTAAGTTAGACACAAATATGGAAAGTCAGGAGGAAAATGATAGTGCGTAAGTAAAAACATTTAAAGTGAAATAGAGGGAAGGGAGAAAGAACAAAAGAAATAAAAAATCAGGAAAAGCATAAGAAAAGGACCTTCAGGTTAGGCACACACAAAGTGATAGACATATACAGACAGCCAGCGTACGAGGCAGTCAAGGTAATCAGTTTTATCAATTGAGTTGACATTTCGAGAGTTAACTCTTCGTCATTCGCTCTGAGGAAGGGCTAACGCCCGAAACGTCAGCCTTGAAACTCTTTACGGTGGCCAATTTACTTTATCAACTCAACTGATAAAACCAAAATTGCTTTGTTACTCCCACCGACGCAGCACCGAAGTCTCTTTAGAAACCTACTCCCTTTATTACGAGTCAGTCAGTCCGACAGACACGTAGACAGAAACACAACCAACCAGCTAGCCAGCCGGCCGGTCAGCCAGCTAGTCAGACAGAGTGAGACCCATTTGGTCTGTCAGTCGGTCAGCCAGTCGGTCAGCCAGTCGGTCAGTCAGTCGGTCAGTCAAACAGTCAGGTAGTCAAACAAACAGACAGCCAAAGAGAAAAGAAAAGATAAGGCGAGTTATTTCAATTTCATGAATTTTCTTTGCACGTGTTCGTTTTCAGTGATCAGACGTCACCGTGTTCAGCGGTGCGTGGCTGTCGCCTGTCAGAAATTCTCACGGCATTACTGGATCTGGGAGCTCGATATCTTGTTCTTCACGGCCGGCTCGTCTATTGGCTTCCAATTTATCGGCCAAGGTGAATACTGTCTTCTTTTAAAATATATACTTTTTTGCTGTTTGCACTGGGAAAATTCGAATCAGCTTCCAACACGAGTTTGCGACCTTTTTTGTTCTCCCTCTATTAGTACCTCAGATCCTGTCACTCAGTTTCTAGAAGTTTGGTACCCATACCATTACTAACAGTAGCTGTCAGATTTGGCCTCTCGCGCTATGTTTTTGCATCCCACACTTCGGCCCGGGAAAACCGAGACTTTGGTCCAGCGGTTTAAATTCTTTTGTGTCTTGAACGTAACAGCGAAGCATCTTTTCTTTTTTTTTGTTCTTTCTTACTTACACTTAGTTACTCAGACGAGTTTCTGCCCAGTCACCCTTGCCTCAGACTTGTAGCGAACAGTGAGCAGTGTTTATCAAGACACGTGTCTCGGCGACTGATCACCATGGAAAAGATCAAAGAGCACACGGTAAGAGGTCTCGTAAAATGAACAGGAAAGCCAGAACATGTTTCTTTTTCAAGAAGCTACAAGTACATGTATACATGTACAGACTTTTCCCTTTGGAAGTATTCCTATGAATTTGTTGAAGCATTTGCTGTATTACGTTTTTGTAAAAAAAAAAAACAAAAACAAAAACAAAAAATCCTACAACTGTAAGTCTGTTCGAGGGGCAAGTGGCACATTTCTATTGCAGATTGAACCGGTTTCCATAGAACTCAAGCTTGACGCCCTAACATCGGTATGCATATTCTCCTTGCTCTTCTCTATACATTTCCTAAGGTGCTGACCAGGAGAATTTGCGTAATAATCAAGAGCTTCAAGGGCTCTACAACGCTCTAACATCAGTATGCATATTCTCCATACTGTTTTCTATGCATTTCCGAGGTTGCTGACAAGGAGAGTTTGCTCACTGTAATTTACAGTAGAAAGCCGTCTGTTCGAAGGGTGCCAAATACATGAATGAAAGGCAACTTAAAGTTTTGAAACAAAATTGAAAAACAAAACAAAACAAAACAAAGAGAGATAAAGAAATATATCTGCAACTTTTTCACTGCCAAACTTACTTGTTAAGCAAACTTCTAAAAGTTTACGCTGATAAGGAAAATTGTCTTTGAAGTTTTTATATCAGATAGAACATAAGCACTCCTCTGTTGCAGGTGGGAGGTCAAAACATGTCCGTGGTACATCAAAAGTTCTTGGAATCGTGTGATAACTTTAGGGATAACTACTTTAGCCAGCAAAGCACGTAACCATTGAAATGGTGTATCATGACATCGAGGCACACCATGTGCTCTTAACGCGATGCACCGTAACGTAATCGTGTGTGGCTGAATAATGGCGGTATTAGCGATGGTGTTTGAAAGTGATGAACGGAAGCGGCTAGATGCATTTTTGTCTTCAAGGGACTCTACAATGCTCATGGTTTCGAAAGTATCGAAAGTCGACTTCAAGAGGTTCGATTCTTACATGTTGCAATATTCTTTGCAATCTGTTATCTGTTGAAAATCTCAGAGGTTAGAAAAAATAACTTTAGATCTGTTACATCAAGTTTCATTTTACATCAGGAGCTGTTTATGGTCACGTGTTCTAGCGAAATGAAGCACATACATGCTGTGCTACTGACATCGTCTCAGTTGACAGAAAGAAAAACAAACAAACAGAAGAAAAAAACACGCTATAAAAAGTGCGAAATATCCCATTAGTAACATTAGAGCAAAAAACAAACAAACAATCAAAAACACTCTTTTGAGAAGGTCGCGTCCTTGTATCTGTCAATCTTTTAAAATACGTGTTTTGGATCACGTCATGAAAAAGCTCTTGCTTTCTATCTTACAACCCTCTTGTTTATGATTTGTAGAATCATAAGAGCCCGCGGTACAGGCTCTGTGAACTGCATGTTTAACAACAAACACGCCAAGATTCTGCGACTGATTTGCACGCTATTCGGACTACTAAATCAGTTATCTTTCAGAGTCTACCCTCTACTGATTATCGGATATGTAGTTCTCTGTTCTGAATATCACGCATTTTTTGTTGACTTGTTTGAGAGATTCTGGTATTATTTCAGGAAATCACCTCATCCTAGATCAGTTCGTCAATTGTCACAACCCTTTTGCTGGATGTATTGCAGAAGTTACATGATAAAAGCTATTATGTAACTTCAAAGTTAAAAGGGGTGAACGATACAAAATGCTAAGCTAAGAACTGTGGAACAGCTTTCAGTTGAGATCTCAATAGGCCATTTCCGAATTACCTTTGCCCACTTATTCAAAACGAGGCCTAGTAATCAACCATTTGTAAGAATGCGCTTTGTGAATGGTCTGAAAAAACTTGTCCCAGCCAATCACGCTTCGGTTACTCGCGTTTTCCCGCGCTTTTATCAAATTACTTTTTTTCGGCAATGGTGGACTTCTTATTATTTTTCTTTAACGGTTTTGATTGTCAGTTGTCATTACTGTGAAATTATTTCGACGACACTCAGTTGAAATGCGTTGTGATGTCTGAGTCCGTGTGAACATGTCTTGCCGTTGTTTCCCAAGTCTTTCTTTCACGGCATCCCTGCTGCACTGCTGCGTGCAACAGGCGCTGTCGTCACGAATTGATTCGCTCAGGTCAGCATTCAAACAAAGGCAACATACGAGTCAGCCGAGGTAGACAGACCACAGAAACATATATTACAAGATTCTAGTAGGTTCTACGAAGTAGTTTGAAGTAGATCAGGTTATGCATTGGAAAAGAATTAGAACCCACTTTTCTTTGTAACACAATTTTAGTAAGAACTACAGGAAACAACAAAAGAGGTGTAAGCTAAATAATACGGATTACGGCCAGCTTTTATTCTTTATCAGTTTGAGCTCGTTGTCTCATTGATAATTAAATGTTTTTTGTACGGCCCACCGCTTTACAATGGTTTTTGAAGGAAACAATTAAGCTTACATTGATTTGAAATACATAAGGTAGGCACACTTGAAAGTTGAACTTGAAATACAATGTTACAATTTGGCTTTGTAGCTAGGATCTCGCAAACAAAGGTAACAATGTTTTCTTTGTAACTGGTATCTCCTATAAACCAAGCATGTCTTTGTTGTTCTTGCCCGGGTGAGTATTTGTTCCGGAGGCTTGCTGAGGTCGTGGTATTACTCTACTGTATTAAGTTTCTCATTTGGATAAAAGAATTTCAAAGATCGTAGGGTCACTGAGTTCAAGATATCAAGACAAAAACAAACCAAAAACGTCCCACTCAGACGACTTTGATGCATGAGTTAATTAGCCTTAATTTAAGTTTTCTTCCGTTGAAAATCCGCTTTCGATAGACACCAAACAACACTCGAGGAAACATGAATGTTAACATCAAAGTAAGGTGTTTGTTTCCGGCAGTCTTGCGGAATATTTTGACAAGGCATGAATTTATAGGCTACAATTAAATAATCGCGACACAGCCAAATAAAACAACATGAAAATTGGACGTCTCGATGTCGCTTTGCACTTTAATCTCCTTTGTATAAGTTGGTTTTACGGATTCTTCGTCAGATTAGGAGATGTTTGCATGCTTTAGGGTTTATTCCGTTGAATTAGGTAGCGCAGGAACTGAGGAAGGAGAACCGTTTACAAGTCTGGAACTTCGAAGCCATAGCGTAACTGTCCAGGGTTCAATCGACTTTTCGCTGTTTGTTTGTTCTAGGAAGCTTGAGGTTCGCTTCTTTTTCATTGTATACATTTCGATTTGATCTTCCAATTCGATTACTCGATTCTCGAGTTCAGATTCCAAGTTTTCGTTTTCTTGAGCTCGTGCAATGGCCAGTTGCACTTTGCTCTCTAAACGTTCCATTTGAAGCTTCCGTGTTGCGCGTAATTTTCTTGATTGTTGTAAGACTTCAACACGTTCTCTTAAAGCCGCTAATTCTTCCTGTAATGATATAGCAGTGGTTTCCAATTGGATACAGCGTTCTCTAGACGTCTTCGTTCGCATACGCAATTCGTGTTCTCTTTTGGCGCACGTTATACACTTTCTCTCGGCGATTTTAGTTCTCTCTTTAATTGTCGCAATTGTGGTATCGATTTCGCTCACATCTTTACTACCACGAGTATCCATACTTACTGCAACTCGTGTGTTCGTTATTTCTTCGAGGAATCTATTAAAGGCATCCCATTTCCTTTGAACAATAGAGATGAGAGATTCTACTTTTTCTAGTTGCGACTCCCTTTTTGAAATTAACGCTTCCACTCTTGCCTTCGTTCTCCTGGTGCTATTAAAGCTTTCTTGTACAAGTTGAAGACTTTCTTTCGCTTTTCCACTCCTTTTTTCCGCGTCCTGTATCTTGCTTTTGAAAGTAGCTATTTTCTTACGGACCATGTCTGCCCCTTTTAAATCCAAGGCCATACTTTCTATTCACTCTTCTTATGCTGTTTTGAAGTGTTTGTGTTTCACCGCTATCTTCGTTACCACTCTCCTTAGGAAGTAAAATCGGTTAATTTCCTCTGAGGCTAAGCTATCTTTGCGTGCTTTAAGGCAACGTCTTCCTTTAGGGACAACATTATGTCAGCTGCACTTTACTTCATTACCTTGCCAAAGGATTAGACAGTTAATGACATGGGTTGAGCTATCAAAACCTTTCCACTTGATAATTGTCATTTTCCAATGGCACGTGACTGATATGGAAAGTAATCGTTTTGCAATTGAGATACCTCTAGTCCTAGATTTTCCCAATAATGCAACAAAGATGTTTGTTATACTGAGGAAATTACCCTTAAAAGCCTGTTGCTTCGTTTGAATCTGCAGTTTTTTCTTCTAGCAAAACCAAATCTTGGATTTTATTGTCTTTGTGGGGGCCAGGGTTATGGGACACGGTCATCAGGTTATGTTTGTGTACGTATAAGATTTCACTATCAACATCAGAGTATTTGTAGAGGAATCACTGGATGTTATCTCCTCGATTGCGTCTGAGAATGATCAAAATACCAGACAACATGCGGTGCATATTGATTTCCGTGCTTTTCCAGCAGGACCACGCTGAAGATTTGAATGGGCAAAGATAACCAATAGTCACCTCTCGAGCTCAGTGCAATGGCTCAAATATGATGTAGCGTACTATCAATTCTGCGCCGTGGTACCACCTATGTATCGTACTTCTCTTGGTAAGCATGGTAATCACTTCAAGATCGGTATGAAGGGAGGGACACCGCAATCTTCCCTTCCCCCCCGCTCTTCCTGGGCATCTCTTAAGGTTTCCCAGCTGTTGTTCGTTTCCCACTGATAATACTGGAAAGGGAAAGGCACTACAAGAGTCTTTTCCCCTCTGACTCCCTTAAGTGACCAAGACAGAATTTCTCCTTACCTTATCGATACAATATCAAGCAGACAAGTAGTGGGAATAAAGAAAAATATCATTAAGGGGATTATTTGTGGATCCAATACCAAATTCTCCACACTAACATCATCATAATTGTATAGCAGACAGAGAGGAGAATTACTAATAAGATACCTGGAGTGAAGGGGTTAATCATTAGTCGAACACGTGACGGATTTGTGCGGGCAAAGTATTGTAGCAGTAACCGCAGGCACAGCAGACATTGAGACCACCTCTCGGTATAAATGATTGCCACTCTGGAGTGGCAATCAAATGGAGTAGAGCGAGGGTGAAGAATGAGAAGAAGTAGAAAAAAAAAAAAAAGACGAAAGATAGAAGACTTGTATGATGCACGATCCTCGCAGTAGAGAGCGCTATTTATGCAATAGCGAAAATCAGGTCTGATTTTCGCTATTGCATAGATAGCGCTCTCTACTGCGAGGATCGTGCATCATACGTATCTATTAGCGCAGTTCAAAATATATGAACTTCATATATTCATCGTATCTGATTTATCATCACGGGTTTATTACGAATCAACTTAACGGCCTGCTACCAGTTGGCTTGTTAGCTCAATTGGTAAGAGCGCTGCACTAGTATCGTAGAGGTCAGTGGTTGGAATCCCGTACAGGCCTGATTTTTTTTTTTTTTTCAGGTCTAATTTTCACTATTGCATAAATAGCGCTCTCTACTGCGAGGATCGTGCATCATACGTATACCGCAGTTCAAAATATATGAACTTCATTTATTCATTGTATCTGATGGAAGACTTGGTTAAGTTCCTTATTATTTTTTCGCGAATAAAGTTCCTTTTTTTATTTTATTTATTTTTTTTTCGTGGATCAACCCGAGAAACTTGTTAATGAATATAACACGTTTTTGGGCGGTAATGATGACAAAATGCGTTTCATTCCTTTTCTTTTGTTAATGCCTCTCCTGTCATCGAACGTCTATCATCGTAACTAGTATTTACGTGCGGTCTGCGGTTTTTTTTTTCTTTTATGTCGGCAGAAATATTTAAATTTGCGGGTCGCCTCCCTTAAAGAACCGATCAGGTTCATCGTGTACATTTTGTCCCCCGTGAATTTGTTTTGTTTCAGTTCTACAAAGGGCTTTGAAGTAATTCTCAGTGATAACCATTCCGAAGTGCAATTGGGCACTATAAAGCTTTCCCAAACCTTTTCCTGCAGTGGTATATACTGAACTCTCTAGTTAAAACCCATAATCACATGCAGAATTCTTACTTCCAACGCAGAAGAGGTCAACTGAAACCATTCCTTTATTTCATTATTTACCTTGTGCAATCAGTACCAGAAGTTAACAAAGCTGTATCACGTGCTAAATGTGTCATGAACTTGTATGAAATGTCATCGATACCAGATGTCCTGCCTGCCATGAAACCTATTCAGCATTTACAGTTTAAAAACAAAACCACGACAAAAAAAAAAAAAGAAAAACAGGAAAAGCTCAATAAATATTGACTTAAATAATTCAATAATAAATAATTCAATAAGTTGTGAGTTTGAAATAGACATACCTACCCGAGCATTTAATTTTGCAATAGAGACGACTTTACTGGATGGTTTAACATAATACGCGCGGATATTTTGCAAGTTGCGTATTATTTTCCGTGTCACGAAGGGGCGAGGAAAAACACGAGCAATGAGCCAATTGTTCGCTCGTATTATACGTTAAATGATTGAATAAAGGGTTTATTATTACACCATCATTTCAATTTTAAGTTGTTTTTCTTTATTTTGCCTTGCAAAACATCAGATGAAGTACATAAGAGACGAAAACAACACGAACGAAACCATCTAAGTCATATTTGCGACCGACAAAAAATATGTCGCGCTTGAAAGTTTTTTAACGGCCTCCCGGTTAGCTTAATGGATAGAGCGCTGGACTCTTGTGCGGGAGGTCGAGGGTTCGAGCCCCGGCCGGACCAACACTCAAGGTCTTAAAATAATTGAGAAGAATATGCTACCTTTCTATAACATCAAGAAATGATTAGATATTCTAGTCTTCTCGGATAGGGACGAATAAATGGAGGTCCCGTCTCCTGCAGGGTTGGTGTAAGAAACGTTAATCGCCCACACACAAGATTACTGTATGATGGATATCCTCCCCTGGGGTGGGATGGGTGGGTAACAGGACCCCCGTTGATACCAGTGTTTACTACACTGAAGGGACTATCCTGTATAAATATAGATGTCTACTCTACTCTAGCTTCTTTAACAGTTAAGCCTAAAACAAAAAAACAGAAAAAGTTGGATCGTTCAGTGCGGCCATTTTGTTGCTACGTATTTTTGCCCTGTTCTTGGAGGCGGCGGGGCCGAGTGGTTAGGGTGCTGGACTTGAAATTCGGTGGCCAGGGTTCAAGTCCTCCACCCTGCCACTCACTGAATTTGTTCTCAGTTGCCCCTAGTTCAACTCCACGGCTGTGCTCTGTAAATAGCTCACTGGTCGCAGTGGGGATTTTTAAGCACTTGGTTAAAACAACATTACAGCCCACAATGTAAACTACTGGGTTACCAGTAATTGTGTTAGCTTTTAAAGTTTAATTTTATTTATCTTTTTCTTTCTCTAAGGAAATACTGTGGTATATTTTGCGCGTTCTTGTGACCTTATTTGATAAATTGATATAGTAGTGGAATGATAAATAGGAAGTCATTTTTTCAATAGCCACACCGATCCTTATGTGAAACTTTCATTCCAGCCTCTCTAACGCGGTTACCGTAGATTAGTGCAACCGTATTGATTGATTAAATAAATAGCTCAGATAACTAAATGACTTTTAATAACTTATAAAAGTGGCTTGAAATAGTTAAGGTAATTTTCATAGCAAACAATACTTCGAGTTATCCGCAATATTTCAGAACTTTTTTTTGTCTTAAGAAAGGTAGCATTAAATTGCCCAATTATGGAGACCTTTTTGTCATCTGACATCACCATGACGACACAATAACCTCCCAGAAACAGCCTTCGTTCTAGGTTAATGTTCCTGTAACCAAAAACGAACTAGTTGAATTGCAATTAAGTCTGACAGAGTCGTTAACTTGATTTCAGATTTCTTGAGATGATTTCATCCCAGTCTGGGTAATAGAGCTCTTTCATTCTCTGAGCATGAGTGCGAAGGTTCTGTGCTTTTGTCTTGATAAGTTCATCAAACGGACTTTCTGGAAGATCCCAGGCGGATGCAGCAATGAAGGCAAACAGTGCTACATCAGCAAGGCAAGGTTTTTCTCCAAACAGAAATTTCTTTTGGCCTAAAATTTCCGAGACTGCTAGTAAATCTCTCTCAGCGATTCCATACAACTCTTGTTCCGAGTGTCGACCCATTCCATGTCCCCACAGATCCCGTTTGATTTTCTTCATTATGTGGTGAGCTATCAGATGTTTAAGAGGGAAGACGAGATGGCCAAACTTTTTAGTGAACAGCTTCCTTCGATATTCTGCTCCAAATGCAGACAACCAACGGCAGTAAACAAGAGCCCTGTCAAAGATGAGAAATATTTAGGTGACAAAACTTTAGGCTCTGAATCCCTTTTTTACCTTAAGTTGGAAGTTAAGTTAAAAGGATTGAAGACGAGAAAATTTTTAACGAGAGAAACTGAACAACCACACGATTTTCAGTTTTCTAACGGCTACTTAAGGAGCAGTCGTTTTTTTGGGGGTGGGGGTCAGTATTTCTTTTGGGGTGTAGAGGGGATCACATGGTTTTTAAGGGGAGGGTCACGGTGTGCGCCGATGTTTAATGTCGGGAAAGTTAAGGGGACCAGCTACTGTATATAGTGTATTGATGTTATGAGGAGAATTTACCAGTCAATTAGAAGTTAGAGTTAAGGCCGGGTCATAACGATTGAGAATAGCCTAACTCATAGAGAGTTCTCTGCAGCTCAGTCGGGTAGAACATGGAGCGTGCAAATTCGAAAATCTCGGGTTGGAATCGTCATGGAGACTAGCAACTGAGAAAATTTACCAATAAGTGTTTTCTTCCAGCATGGTTCGAACACTGTGGGCGACGGCCTTTTCTGTGTCGTTCAAATGAGAATCAATGTCGACTTTGAATTCCCGTTTCAGGAATTGGATACAGAAATTGGAATCAGCGATTTCTTGTCCATTAAACTCGATCCACGGCATTTTTCCCTTCTTTGAAAACTTCAACCGATGGTCGTTCCGGTACGGGATTTTTGTCATACGAAGAAAAGTTTCCAGCTTCAGACAAGGTGGAGAACCATTGACTGATAACTCCGTCGGAGCAAACTGGTGGAGGATGAGTGAGTTTCCACACTTGGCCAATTTCTTTTTCTTTTTCAGTATTTGCATCGTTCAAGTGTTGCTGTAGGCGGTCTGATGCGATGTTCGGACTTGAGCGGTTGAAACTTTGGTTCAACTGGAGTTGTTGAAATGCTCCGTTTGGGGTTTTAATAGACGTGATGACGTAAAAATTTCATAACTAAAATAAGTGATAATGTCTTGTAAACGGGGAATGAATACTGAATGCCACTTCCGACGGAATTAACTTCCTGTGTCGAACATTCGATCTTGCTAACATAACTGTTTTTCTCATGTATCAAAAAATAGATCAACAAACACTTTTGAGCTGACGGTGTGTGTCTTTTCACGCTTCACATAAGCAAATGTCAGTGCAGGTGAACGTAACGATTGGCACAGTGACAGGCTGATCTTTATGTGTGACACATTTTTTCGGTTGCGTGAGAAATCGTTCGCATCTTACAATCTTGAACAACTTTTCAAGGGTTGACTTCCTACCAGTTAAAGGTCACTAGGTGTCGATAACATCTGAGCGGGTTTGAATGTAGAGCGACCTCATTTCGAGATCGATTCGCGCTCTCATCAGCAGAAAGTTAAAATGATTATGCTGCTTTTTCTGGTTATGCATTAATTAATTTCGTTAATTTTTAGGTTAGAGCTTATGGAATTTTAAATTCATTCTACACGTTATGCCACTCCTAAGTAAGTGTTACCGAGGAAGTCCCAGTTCTGTTGTCAGACGCTGACATAACTTTCAGCTGACAAAATAAAACTTTTCCTGTCATTTAGGTAAAAACCCATTTTGCAACCGATTTTCGGAGACCATCCCCATCCGGTTTCGTTTCGAAGAAGCTAACTAATCCTCTACATGAAAATGAAAAGAGCAGCTAGAATATAAATGCTGAAATGAAACGATTTTTTCAGGGCGTAGAATTGCCAATTACTTGACGTAAGATATTAGGATAGAAATGACTAATGGTTAAAAGACAACGTTCGACCAGAATGGAAAAATTGTGCGTAAAGCTCGGGTGGACTTTAAAAATGAATTGCAGATTTAGGAAACGTGAATCGAGAAATAAACCCTTTAAGTGAAACAATTGATAATCTGATATTGTATTTTAACTTAATAAGCTTTCTGGATGAAACAACAGTTTTTGGTCGATCAGACCTCCTTGATATCCGCACGATACGCTCCTATTTTTCCGTGATTGCGAAACGTTTCCGCAACCGTTCCGCATTACGTGATGTTTGAAGTATTCGCGACCTCGATATGCTAATCCGCGACTTGTTGAATTTTAACTTTTACCTTAAGTAAGAGAGCATATAATAATAAACAACATCAAGATACTTTCAGCACACAAGATTAAAGTAAAAGAACTATAAGGTATCGCCATATTTATTCAGTCTTGCACTCCGAAACGGTCACCGGAAGCCGTATTTTCTCGACAGTCTTTCTTACCAGGAGGTCGCTTTAACCCTTATACTTGCTGAAACGTTTGTTAAGAATATCTCGCCAATTTTGGTAACATCACCAATGTGCTAAAAACAGTGTTTATCCTTTTGTCGCCGGTGGGACAAAGACCGACTGTGTATGTTATGCAAATGATACGCCTCTGATTAAAAAATTTTGAAATTCCGTGTTTTAATTATTTCATAGCAATATTTTTTACATATGGCAAGAACATTTGCAGTGCTTTCAGTTGACTTCGTGAGACATTACAGCGCGAAGTTGCACAAAAAAGTGTTGTTTATTTCATGTTATATCACCCATGTTAATTTTTTTTTTTCGCACTGGAAAAAGAGACGGGCTAAGTAAATACGTGTCTGAGGAAAAGGTGAAGGAATTCGATTCATGGATGAATTTTATGTCAAAAGATCATTACAGTTGTTATTATGTATTCAATTTATTTTTGCAATATCATAATTGAAGAATACCCTGTTTATTCTCTTAAATGGCAGCCTTTTTTTTTTTTTGCTTTTTTTAAAGGGAGCACTTTCTAAGTCTACGTGACCCGAATGTTTGGTGATGTGGAACTAAAAGCCTAGTAGTAAGTAATTTTTGAGTATTCTGGTGACGTGTTTCAAAGTCGTATGAAGAACTGATAAGATCATGGCGAATTAATGGAGATCAGGTAAGTTTTATTGCTTCCGATATAAGTTTATTCAATGGTTTCCTACTCACGATCTTTGCGCAGTTAATGATAGTGGCCTGATGATAACACTTAACGGTTACCTCGCGACTAAGGCATTGTTAATCTCAAGTAGTGGATCAGTTATAGGGGATGTGTAAGGAGTGGGGGCCGGGGGTAGTATTTTGGGAGGGATCACAAGATTTCCAGGGGGAACGGAGCGGTAATCGTTCATCGCCAACAGAGAATACACGGGGACTATAAAATATAAGGGGGAAATCCAAACGGCAACCTCCCCGCCCAAATAAAAATTAGTAGACTTATATGACTATAGGAAGACTTTAATGACCAGGTACGTAGAGAATGAGTTTCGTTATTGCGATTAATTTGAGTCTCGTCTGCCGAGAAGAAAGAATTGATGGATCGTATTCTTAAATTAACAGAACGCCGGGATGTGATTAAAACTGGACCAAACTTGGCGAAGAATAATCTTGCCACGTCAAAAGGAAGTTCTTCGGAATTTCAAAAAATTATTAATAGCTATAACGCTTTAAAATCGTCATTTTCCACTCGTCGAGTTAGTCTTCTCCATTCTATATGAAATCACTCTTGTGCCCAGTAGCTTTAGTAACTCTTTACGGTAGCCAGCTGTTTACATTATCAGCTCAGGTGGTAACACGATCAATCAAAGTACAGTAGAACCTCGATTTAACGAAGTGCCAAGGGACCGAGGAAAATGGTTCGTTATATATCAAGGGCTCGTTTTATCGAGTTTCTGTAGCATACATTTCACTCTAACTTTGGCCGGGCTGAAACTGAAATATCGTTCGTTATACCGAGGACTTCTTTGTATAGAAGTTCGTTAAATCGAGGTTCCACTGTATCGAGGACTAGTTATTTTGAGGTTCTGTGGCATACATTTCATTGGAACTTTGGCCGGGCTGAAACTGAAGTATCGTTAGTTATACCGAGGACTTTCGTTATATAGAGGTTCGTTAAATCGAGGTTCCACAGTATCTTAATGGCCCCCACCGACGAAGCACCACAGTTTCTCTAGACAGTTATCTCCTTTCTGAATAGTATTGACTCATTTTTGTTTGAATATTACCGCCCAAAATTGCACTAAGGTTCATTTTATTCACGTTGAAAGTGGTTATCTCGGCGCTAACGATGACTTCACCAGTACTTCTAAGATCTCATTCGTAATTCTCCTTGCTGTCTGCGGTAGAACTCTGATGATGTTAAAAGGGAGTAAGTTTTTTTTTAAGGAAACTGTGGTGCGGCGTCGGTGGGAGTAACGAGGTCATTTTGGTTTTATCAACTGAGTTGATAAAGTAAATTGGCTACCGTAAAGTTACGAATTTCAAAGCTGACGTTTTGAGCGTGAGCCCTTCGTCAGGGCGAATGATGTTAGTTCGGGAAATTTGGTACTGGATCAACCATAATCCTCTAATTAATTGATGTGTTTCTTCACTCTCGTCATTTTTCTGCCTGAAATTGTAATGATATTGTCTTGGTCACTCATGGGAGTTGGAGGGTTATTAATAGAGGTAGCTATAGTCGTGTCTGTTAACTTTAGACATTGGACTGAACATGATACGAGGTGACGGGATTTCCTTTTCGTAACACCTCCTGTTCTTAAGAACTTGTATTTCCCTGTGTCATGGCGTTTGTTCTTAGGGTAACTTTCCCTCTTCCATTACGAAATAACAACTTAATATTCCATAACCGCAAACAAGCTGGCGAAAAATTAGTAGAGCCGGGAAGTCTTAATTTAGGTGCAACAGGTATTGCTGAAGTTAAAAGGTGTCACCAGACTTAAGGCCATTCTTTGGCACGGACGGGTTCCTTTTAAATTAAAGGATACTCTGTAAGATGGATAAAGTAGATTAGCGCGTAAGAGGTAAAACTCATCCAAAAATTAGTATAGATAATATCATGATTTCGAGTGCAATTTGGAATAAATAAGAACGAGTAAATTTTTTCAAAAACCAACAAAATTGCAAATTGCCCGAGAAAAATCATGTATTAATAATATATATGCAAAAATACGGGGTAGCTTATCATAATTATACAGAAGAAAAGCGTGCGCATTACGTGCAAAAATAATTTATTCAAACCCTGCAAGTGTCAAAACAACCGCGTACGATCAAAACAATAAGATAAAATGAAATTTTCACATCTTTAAGGCGCAAAAAGTTCAAAGTCCGGCCAAACAGTTTAAGGAATTTTTCGGTGAGTTTGGTAATTCTGTGAGTTTCTTTGATTATTGACCAATCAGAATGTCTGGTTTATTACTTTCTTTACATTGAATTAACCCTCTTCTGCACTGAATTAACTCTCTTCTGCAATGAATTACCTGAAAACTGCAGTTATCTTAACCAATCAGAACTGAGTAGTTTTTTCATGTATGTTATTAATGTTTGAATATTATCGCACAGAATTACACTAAGTTTCATTTCATGCGCGTTGAAAGTGGTTAGCTCGGCGCAAACGATGACTTTACTAGTACTTCCAATATCTTATTCATAATTCTCCTCGCTTTCTGACATAAAATTCGTATGATGTTAAAAGGGAGTAAGTTTTCTTTAAGGAAACTGTGACGTTGCGTCGGTGGGAGTAACGAGGTCATTTTGGTTTTATCAACTGAGTTGATAAAGTAAATTGGCCACCGTAAAGTTACGAGTTTCAAAGCTGACGTTTTGAGCGTGAGCCTATCGTCACAGCGAATGATGTTAGTTCGGGAAATTTGGTACTGGTTCTACCAATAATCCCCTAATTAATTGATATGTTTCTTTATTCTCGTCATTTTTCTGCCTGAAATTGTAATGATATCGTCTTGGTCACTAATGGAGTTGGAGGGTTATTAATAGGGGTAGCTACAGGCGTGTTTTGTTAACTTTAGACATTGGACTGAACAAGATACGAGGTGACGAAATTTCCTTTTCGTAATACCTCCTGTTCTTAGGAACTTGTTTTTCCTTGTGGTTTGGTATTTGTTCTTAGGGTAATTTTCTCTCATTCTTTACGAAACTGAACTGATACTCCATAACCGCAAAAAACCGGCGAATTAGAGATGATGAAAATTAGTGGAGCTGGGAAGTCTTGAGTGAGGTGTAACAGGAATTGCTGAAGTTAAAAGGTGTCACGGCGAGACTTAAGGCCATTCTTTGGCACGCACGGGTTCCTTCCGAATTGAAAGACACCTTGAAGGATATATTAAGTGGATAAGCACGTCATTGATAAAAATCATCCAAAAATTAATAGAAGTCACGTAGAGTTTTTTTTTTAAGCGGAATCCAAGCCACGCGCTGTCAGAAATTCAGTTTCTTGAAAAACTGAAAATCGCAAAAGGTGAACTGGAAAATTTTCCGTTTACCGGGTATAAAACAGCGTATGAAAGTAAATGGGGTAAGGAGGGACCATATCAATATTAAGACCACTGTTCTTTACTAGATAACTGTTTATTTCATTCAGATAAGTACGTTCTGACTTCACTGGAATCTATAAGTTGGCCCGCAGCCATGTTTGGGCATGCGCTGTAAGGACTGTTCGTTCGGTAGCACCAGGCAAGATCCTCAATCTGTTCTTCCCAACAGTTTTCCCATTCTATTTCATCTTCATAGTTTGTTTGCGGGTCAAGCATTTTCGCTAAATCACCATTTTCCTAGGACAAAAAGAAAAAACATCTAACAAGTCTTGAAAGGTTCGAAGCCATTACTTATCCAGCTCATAGGTGTTTCCAGATAAATAAAACGCACATCAAAGAAATTCTGAAAATTAGTTAAAAAATTGGACGAAATTGTTAAATTTTTTCATGTTCTAAGAGGATCGGTACAATTTATCGCCGGGGAGG